ATAATTCTGCAGTAAACATGGGAATGCAGATGTGACTTCAGTATCTCCTACCATACTCTACCGAGTTCTAGAGAGGGACGTCCCAATACCACATCAGCTCCAAATCAGTACCTGTTACACCCCCCATAACTTTAAAAGCCTATTCTTTCACTTCTACTTCCTCCAATTTTTTAACTTCAAGAAGTCATAGACTTCAGGTATATTATTTCTTAATGAAATAAATAAAAGAGGGTGTTAGCTCTATTTTATAGGTAAACATGCTGAGCTAGATTATGAGTGATTTGTCCAAACTATCACATCAAAATTAAACTTGAAGTGAGGCTGTCCTTCCTTATTTTTGGTGCCTACTCCTTTCATAGTTAACTCATTTCTTTAAAATTAGTGTAACTGGTGCCAAATTTGAATTTGCTTCAGTTAGGCTTTCTGAAGTCTATAAGCAGTAAGGTTTTGGAAGTGTCTATTACATGTTATTGGGGTTTTTTTGTGTGTGTTTTTTAGTGCTCGCCAGAAACCCAGAGCTAATTATTTGGAGGACCGAAAAAATGGGTCCAAGCTGATTGTTTTTGTTATTGGAGGAATTACATACTCTGAAATGCGCTGTGCGTATGAAGTGTCTCAGGCACACAAATCCTGTGGCGTTATCATTGGTAAGACTTGCTTTCCTCTTTTCTGTTTCTTTAAACAGACACTAAATGCAAAAATATATATGTAGAACTTTATCTTGAATTTTACATTTACAACTAAATTGTTGAAAGCAGAACAACTTGTTTTAATCATAGTTAATGTTTTATCTGATGTGCTAGAGTTTTTCTGGTCAACCTTTTGATAATTTTCTTTTTAAATATCCTGTTTTTGAGTGAATGAACTTCAAAGTATTACATTCTTTAAAATTATTAAATATGTCCTTTAAAATATGTTATGTTCCATACTTTTCTTGCTCTTATCATTAAATAATTTTTGAGACATTTCTACGGAACTATTTTGAATTATTTTGTACATGGATCTGACATTGTCAAGGCCTGTGTGTTGAATTCAGTTTTAAGAACTTCAGTAAGAGCCTCTTATATATAAGCTCTCCTGACCCAGGCCTCAATCCTCAGCACTGCTTAATGGTTCTCTGTGATTGAACAGTGACTTTTCTGTTGTGAGGGCAGAGTAACCTCCAGTTTTGCTATTCAGTATATCAATATGTAGCACAAGGTAGACAAAGCACCAAAAGTGGGCAGTGTTTCTGAAAGTTTACTGAGCATGCTTACTGAAGAGGAAAGATTGAAGTACTGCAGTGTGGGCAGATTTCAGGAAGGTGTCCTATAGGAATTCTGTTCAGTTGCCCCAAGTTATCCTAACTTTGCATACTTGAAGGACAGGACAGTGAAGTTAGCCAAGGAAATTGATTTAACTGCTGGCCTCTGAAAACTTATCTTTTTTCCCTGCCAGGTTCTACACATATTTTAACACCCAAAAAGCTGTTGGATGACATAAAGATGCTGAATAAATCCAAGGATAAAGTCTCCATTATTAAGGATGAATAGTATTTGGGGGAGAGGAGTTCTTATTAATACTTTCAACTAAACTGGATAAGACGTTGTTGCTATTATGTAATTTCAAGTGTAAATATTTTATGGGATAAGGACTTTTCAGATATATTTCTTAAAGGACTGCTTATGGTTACACATAATTGGATTTGCCACTTTTAATAATTTAAATGTTGATATTTTATTGATGATGATAAATATTAAAATGCTTTTAAAAAATGTTTTCACCTTTGGAACAGAATATAAGTTGTGGGTAATTTTTCACAGCTACCTATGTACATACTAATTACTTGTTAGATACTTATGTTTTATGTTGAAATACTGTTTTGGGGAAAGTGATTTTAAATGAAAAGGTTATAAAATTTAAAACTGTAAATGTGTATGTATGGCAGAATGATTTTCTATACATGCAGTTTTTCTTTCAACTGAAATTCATAATTTCTTTTATGTGTAAATCAGTCATAAAATAGAATGATTTCACAGTATATACTATCTTTCTAGATACTTCTAAAGAACACAATTTTATATAACTCTGAAATCATATATGTTTAAATTGGAAAACCAAAAATAATCATGAACATTCTAAGAGAAAATAAATACATAGTTACAAAAATTTATCTTTGTTTTGCGGGGGAGAGATGAGAGAAGTTAGGAAGTTTAAAAGTTCTAAGCCAAGGAGTTAGAAAGAAGAAAGAAATGCACAATAATCTTCCCACCAAGATAACCCACTGACTTTTTAAAAAAGTAATGTAAAGTACAGTGGATTCACATTGCTCAGCCATAGTCACAAAAACAAAGAAAAATATCAGTAGTTCACAACATACAAAAAGTTTTGGATCTGGCCCACAGGGCCCAGGTCCTGGCAGTTTATTTTGTAGATGTGTTTGTAAATCAGTGGTGTAGGTGTCTGGTTCCCTTTGTGACTCCCATCGGGATGCAGGCATATTTCTTTTAAAATCAAAGGAGCAAGAAATGTCTTCCTCCTCAGTAAATTTCTACTACCAAACATTTTTGGGTATTAAATATAGACAAGTATATATTCATATTTGGTATGAATTAGGTCTATTTTAAATAATTCATTAACAAGATTACAGTAGAAACAAATGATAAAAGGATGATTTATCATTAGTATACTCTGGTAGTTAACTAAAGTGGATGTCACTTCTAAAGAGGTGACAGCATTCTACGAGCAGTCCCCCCTCACCCTGCTGTCTTGGCCCTGGCACCTCAAGCAGGAAGCAAGCACAGAGGCCTCTGTGCTGTGGAAGCTGCCAGCTGTGTTTACACCACCTCTGCCCTCAGCGGTCCTGAGCCTGTGACTCAGCATTTGGAGATACAATCACAGTTTCTTAACAAGCTTGTTTTTCTGGTTTATTCCTGCAGCAGAATTAGAAGAGAGGTCTATCAGCGTTGACACAAAGAAGTTGCATGAGGGAGGAGACAGCCAAGGCTACAGAATCAGTAAATATAATGTTGTCTTTGTAAATCAGAGCCTGTCCAGCATTTTTCCAGATGCCTTAAGGAGGTTGCCCTACTTCTTTTCCTGGGATGAGTCATGTTGCAGTGATTGTTATAATGATCCTCAATCATCAAGGAGATGTAAAATTATGTTTAGAATATGGTTTAGTAAAGCAGAGGTGGATTGTATTTTTAAGTAAAAAATGACTGTAGTAGTTTCTCTAAAGGTCAATTCGAGGGATTAGGAACATCATTTATGGAAGTCCTTTCTAACCGGAGTGCCATGGATTTGCTTCAGGTGTCTGTGGACTTTTAAAAATTGGGTGCATGTTTATAAGTTGATTTTTCCATGGGAGAGTGGAGCATACAGGAGGGAGATGCCACAAGTTTCATCACATTTTCAAGAGGATTGAACTCCAAAAAGGTTAAGAGCTACTGAATTGTTTAAGAACACTTCAAGCCAGAGAATTGCGTGATTTTAAGTTTGGGGACAGGTTCTCAGGCTGTGATGAAATTTAGGTCTGTGATGAATCTGGAAGCCTCTTAACACATACACAGTATTTCTCTGAAATACTACTGCCAGTCTTCACTATCTTCCTCACAGTGCCACAGCCTATAGTAAACTTAGCCACAAAGTCAGAAGAGTCTTGAGTCTTGCCTCTGCTTTCTCTTTCCCAAGGCACCCGAAACCAATTTCCAAGCCCCAAAGTTAAAAATAACCCATTCTCCAGTCAGCTAGTCAAACAGCAGCTGCCATGGTCACCACAAAAATCCTCAGCGTGGGAATAGATTCAGCTCTTCTCCCACTGAGCACAGCTCTGGGGATGGGAACCCATTTTTTGAGTATTCGGAGTGAATGGAGGCCTCAGGAAAGAGGGAAAGAAGCAATAATTTGCTCCTCTGTCATTAAGGAGGTATAAATCATTCTTAAAGGAAAACTCCTAACCTTACTCTGACATTCTGCATGAAATGGTATAAATTTATGGAGTCCAGGGTACATAGTTGTAATGAAATGCCTTCACTTTTGTCCCAAATTTCATGAACCTAGAGCTAGGGCTATCATTTTAGGACATTTCTGACTTCAAGACAGCTTTCATCAAATAATTTCTGAGCATTTTGTAAGGATTTTATACAGTACAGAAAGTAAAGATACTCCACTTCCCCATAAAACTCCCTGTTCTACTCCCTAAGGGTCCACTCAGTGTTTTTGTGTACTTTCCAGAAAGTGTGTCTTCCCCTTGAAAACATACACAAAAGATCACACATGGGTATTATCAGGCATCGTGCCATTTTTTCAGTCTTGCTGATCGACCTCCCTCATTCTTTTCAGCAGCTGCAGAGTATTAGTTGTATGACTGTCTTTGTTTACTAATGGCCACATAGGGTTTTAGGTTAGTTCCAGTTGGGGCTGTTCCCATCTGGGCTGCATGGCCATCCCCCCTCACGTACCATGGCCTGTGTCACCTGTGAGGTAAACAGCTAGTGGTGGGATTGCTCCAGGTCAGGTGCATGTAAAATTTGGTAGAATTTGCACCAATTTATACTTCCACCAGCAGTGTCTGAGAACCTGTCTCCCCCAGCCTCATTGACACTGGGTTTTCAAAACTAATTTTTTTTTTTTGCCATGCTAATAACTATAAATGTATATTGTTTTGCTTCCTTTTAAAAGGAATAACATTTCTTTTAAAATAAATACTTGTTGCCCGGCTGGTTGAGCATCGACCTAAAATCCAGGCAATCGGGGTTCAATTCCCAGTCAGGGCACATGCCCAGTTGCAGGCTAGGCAGCCAATCAATGACTCTCTCATCATTGATGTTTCTATCTCTCTCCTTCTCCTTTCCTCTCTCTAAAATCAATAAAGATATATTTTTTTAAAAAAAAAAAGTAAAAGAAATACTTATTGATTTGATTTTAAGAATCAGAGGTCCCTTTTTTCTCATTTAAGTACTTTGTGGTCCCCATTTCTTATGATATTGGCATTTTCTCTAGAAACTCATCCTCCTAAATTGTGTAATAAGTAACACATTTTAGAGGGAAGATTAAGTTTTCTTTGCCTTTTTTTTTTAAGTTCTCAGTTGCCTTGCGTCAAACTAGTATTTCAGTTGATTCCTCCGTCTCTGTAGTTTGGCGAGGTCTTCTGCAATAGTTCTGATCATTTGATCAGTAGTTTCTTTCAAAACTATTGCTGTTCTTAGGGCATGGTCCAGAGACGAGTTTAAACCCTACAAGGGAGAAATGCGCACATTTTAGTTACATAAATTTGCCACTGTTCCTGTCAGTTGGTTCTCTCATCAAACACTACGAGGTAGAATTTGGAGTGCTCTTTTTCCACCCAGTCTGTTTCTGTTTTTTCCACCTGGTCTGTTTCTGTTTCTGTTTCTGAAAGTTGGTTTCCTAGGAAACCAGTCAGAGATGGAAGATATTTTTTAGGGTAAGGGACATNCCTGGTCTGTTTCTGTTTCTGTTTCTGAAGGTTGGTTTCCTAGGAAACCAGTCAGAGATGGAAGATATTTTTTAGGGCAAGGGACACAAAAAAGACCGACCTGTGACTAATAAACATGAATCAGAGGGTGAGGTTGGCAACCTGCTGGGCCATTTCCCCACTGTAGAGAAAGGGATCTGAGAAAGAAGAAAAGCTCTTGGGGGCCGCTGAAGGGGATTAACTTAGGGACATAACCACTGAGAGGGCAGGGATACAGCGCATGCATGTTGAAGCACTTGAAAGTGGCCTGGGATTCGAGTTACTGATTCGAAAATAGGATGTGGCTGGCAGCTCTAACCCCATTGTCACTGGAACAGACTTGTGAGCAGCCAGGGGATCCTGTAGCTGAGGCACCGCCCACCAAACACGTTCTCCAGGAAGTTCCCCTTGGAACCAGTTTAAGAGTAACACACCACGTGGCTGCTCAGGCCTTGTGTCTTTATGTTTTAGCAGAGCATTTTTGGATGCTCCATACTGTAATAATTTAAAAGCCATCAGTTTTGTGGTCAGCAAGCCCAAGCTTACAAGCTGCAAGGATTCTAGAATGTTTTTCTGAGTCCTTACCTCAGATTTTGTTTCTTCAACACTGCTAATGTTGCTTAGGGATTTGCTTCCAGAAATCCTGCAGGAGTGGAAATGGGCTGAGGATGCAGCCAGGTCTGAATGGGAGGTCATGGGAGCCTTAAGGTTTTTTCTGGAAAGGAAAAGCACACCGACACTCATGTGAGGCACCACGCTCAGCTCTGGCGCAATGGGCCCTGTGAGTACTGTGGTGGAGTCAGGCCCCCTCTGCCTGCTGCAGCTCTCACAGTGCCCTGGTGGCTGACCACAGCTAAGCTGCAGAAAAAGGTGGTTCCCATGACCACAAAGGGGATTTCCTCCCAGAACTCGTCTCCTTTTCTGTTGGCACAGAAAGAGGCAAAACTCCAAAGAGGTTTTTATTCCGTTTTCATTGTTTTGGGGTCAACCCTCTACCCTCCACGTTTATGAAACAGGTACATACCAATCTGACCAATGTAGACACTTGGGGTTGAGCTCATTCCAATGCCAGTGAGAACTGACACAGAAAGGAGGCAGCAGCAGTAGAGAAATAAAAGCAGCCCCTCTAAGTAACCAGGCTCCCTTCCCATGGCACTGAGTCTCAGTGATGGTCCTGAGTCTGCCTTGGGTGAGGGAGGGGTCCAGGGCCACTGTGCAGTTCAGGTCATGCCCTGCGTACTCAAACAGTTTATTTTACTAAGTCTGCGTGAAGGGCACTGCCTGGAGTTACGCCTTGCACAACCCTGAGTGGTGGCCCCAAGGAGTGCCACAAAACCTTGCTTGACAAGTGGGCTGTGGAGCCATCCTCATATCTTCCCCTGGCTTGAGATTCCTTCCACTAAGCATTATTTCTTTGGTACATACAACTAGTGAATAAACGAATGATTGAAGGCCTAGCCAGACTTGGGTTTGAATCCTGTCTCTACACTTAAGATCTAGATGATCTTGGGCAGGTAATTTAATGCACTAAGCACACAGTATGCACCCAACCAGTGGGTAGCCATTTTTGTTATCATTACTACTAATAAAAGAATACTTACTTTCCTGGTATGGGCTCATGCTCATCTTGAGAGGATTTTGAATTTGCTCTCTGGGAATAGATCCAGTTTGGTTTTGAACAAGCTGAAAAATGTTAGCTGTGATTAAATTCAGAGCATCAGAAATAATCCCCAAATGGTGGGTATGTGGGTATCAATTCCTGAACTTTAATGTGTGAATGAGGTATTTAATTAAAATTTAATAAATAAGAAAACTGGAGAAGATAGAGTGCAAGGAACTTTCTGTTGAGTATTCTGAAGTCAAAGAATTCAGGAAAAGAAATTCAATTTTTAAAAGTAGTTTTATTGCCTGGCTGGCATGGCTCAGAGGTTGAACATTGGTCTGTGATCCAGGAGATTCTGGTTTGATTCCTGGTCAGGGCACATGCTCGGGGTTTGGGCTCAATCCCCAGCAGGGGGCGTGCAGGAGGCAGCCGATCAATGACTCTCATCATTGATGTTTCTCTCTCCCCCTCTCTCTTCCTCTCTCTGAAATCAATAAAGATACATTAAAAAAAAAAAAAAAAGTTTTATTAGCAGACAGGAGACCAGGAGTCTAGGTTCCCTGGGCACTAGCTGTGGAGACCTGGGCATGTTGTCTAACTTTTCTGGGCTCAACTCCTTCATCTGAAAATGGAGGAATAATCTCTTCTCAGAGGTTGACCCAATTGGATTCCTGAATTCCCCTCCAACTTTAGGAGCAAGGGTTCTAGGAGTCAGAAACTAACAAGTAAATCACTAAGACAATTCTAGAAAACAGACTAAACAGAGAAGATACATGTGTTAAAGTCACCCCTAGTCCTCTCTCCTCCCCTTTCTCCTTCCAGATCTCCTGTCTACCAGTGTACAGAGGGGTTCACGACCTCCCACGACAGCCCACACCATTTTCTGTTCGCTGCAGTTTCTGGAAGGTTCTTTTTTAACACTGAGCAAATAATGCCTCCCTGTGACTTCTACCCTCTTGGCCACTATACGTTTACAGATGGAGTTCAAGATCACATTTCACTTGACTCAGCTACTTGCCTCATCCGGATATTGGAATAACAGGTCTCATGAGCTATGGACCCAAAGACCAAGGAATAGTAAAGAAAGCTGCCATGTTGCTTCTGCAGAGTCATTGACTGTCACCTTGATAATCCATCCAACTGGAGGATTTGGCAACTGAGGCCAGTCGGGTCAATGACATCCTTTAGCCTTAACCATGGGCAGCTGTGAAAGGTAAGAAACATTTTCCCTGCCCTGTCCCCAGAGAGGGAGAGAAAGCTCTGAAGGTAGGACTTCACCCTTGAGGAAAAGGTGTTGGAGAGCCAGGCAAGGCTGTCCAGAGGCAAAACGGAGCATTTCCTTCCCTCCTCTGTTCTCTTAGCATACTCCAACTACTCTTAGCACTTACCACATTCTGCCATGAACTTTTCCTTTCTCGCAATAGATTGTAAACTTCTGGGGAGGGAGGAGCTGTGTCTTATCTTTATAAACAAATGTTTGTGAGATTTTAATTTTTTCCTAAGCAAAATTTTGCATTGAGCAACGATGTTTAAGGAGTGCAAAAATAGCCTATTTCTTTACACGCTGACTTGTTAATGGGGACCTGTTTAAAGCTTTTGCCACCCCTGAGTAACAGTGGCAATTACTTGATTGATCATTGCTCAGCAAATATTTATGATTTGTTACCAGATTGCACTGGTATAGCACTTAATAACTTTCAAAGTCCTTTACTGCTAGGATTTCATATCTCCCAGCTCCGCCTAGCCTCTGCCATCCAGATGTCAGGCTGGACACCTGGGTAGCAGACTGGAAAGGGCAGGGCCCCCCCTGAGTGGAAGGAGTGGCCGGGGTGATGTGGGTCTCCCAGGCCCGGGAGAGAGACTCAGTTGTTTACAAAGGTGGGATCATGCAGAGATGTACTTACAAGGGGAAGAATTATTTTCATTTAAAAAGAGCTGGACAAAGGTAATTCCTTCGCTATGATTTAAGTAAGTCTGTCCCGGGGTGTTGTATCTGTAATGAAATTCTAACAAGGAAAGATTAAAAATATGACTCATTGCCTGGGACCATTGCTGTCCCCACTGCTGCCTTCTTTTGAGGCCTCCCTGTCACCCTGACCTTTAAGTGGTTCTTTATGGCAGCCTCTTGGGGAGTTAGGAACCTTAGTGCCGCAGGTCTCACATATCTTGCTCTGCAGCCCAATGCCAGCAGCAGAAGAGCAGCTGAGTCCTGTATCGGGACCTGAAAAAACCCAAGTCACACAAAAGAAGTGTGAGTTTCTTAATTACACTCATAAAATGTGGTGTGGTGAGCAAAGATATAACTGTGCAAGGTCCGCATTGGACACCACAGTGTTTAACTCCCCATCTGTGTTACCCAGGGGAGTTGCCAGCCTGGAGTGACATTTGTGATCCCTTTCTGACACAGATGTTCCGATAAGTAACAGTTCTGATAAGAAAGCCTTGATTTGCCTTGCACCTGTGGGTGCTTAGTAAAAGTCTGCAGAATAGGTGGGTCTGTGAGAATTTGGCCCTCTGAATTATCAGACAATCTTGCATTTGGAGTCACTTTTCCAAATTTGCCCCAGTAGATCCACATTCTCTTCTCAGCCCTTGCTATGGCCTTGAGCTCGTGTTTTGTCACCCAGGCCATTGGAAAGATGGTTTCCTCCCACGTCAGTTCATGAACCCATGTGGGAACCTGAATTATAGCTTTGCCCTCATCAGTGCTATGAGATGGGGAGAGGCTGGTGGTGGGGAGAATGTGTGTCTGGTGCAGGTCTAGAAATTATTCGGCAGTCTGTGGGCAGTGGAACTCTCCAGGTGAGGCCAGAATGTGGGAGCCTGGGCCACGCAGATGAGCATGGCAGGCTTGGTTGTCCAAGCAGCGTCTCAGCTCCAGGAGAGGAGAAGCCAGGGGAGCAAGCCTCTGCCAATGCTACCAGCCTCGCTGCATCCATGAGTACACTCATTTCTAACTTTATATGTCGAAGTATAAGTCACAAATGGAAGGAGCTCTAGAAGGGTTTCTTTCTTCCCTAAATCTCACTCAGTCCATAGTTATTGAATGCCTTCTGGATCCTGAACACAAGGAAATTACAAATAGAGGACAGGGACTTACCTGGGAAGGTTGTGTTGCACAGTGAAAAGAGTAAGAGATTCAGGTGGAAGGCAGGCGGGGGGGGTGGAGAATGGGGAGGGNAATTACTTGATTGATCATTGCTCAGCAAATATTTATGATTTGTTACCAGATTGCACTGGTATAGCACTTAATAACTTTCAAAGTCCTTTACTGCTAGGATTTCATATCTCCCAGCTCCGCCTAGCCTCTGCCATCCAGATGTCAGGCTGGACACCTGGGTAGCAGACTGGAAAGGGCAGGGCCCCCCCTGAGTGGAAGGAGTGGCCGGGGTGATGTGGGTCTCCCAGGCCCGGGAGAGAGACTCAGTTGTTTACAAAGGTAGGATCATGCAGAGATGTACTTACAAGGGGAAGAATTATTTTCATTTAAAAAGAGCTGGACAAAGGTAATTCCTTCGCTATGATTTAAGTAAGTCTGTCCCGGGGTGTTGTATCTGTAATGAAATTCTAACAAGGAAAGATTAAAAATATGACTCATTGCCTGGGACCATTGCTGTCCCCACTGCTGCCTTCTTTTGAGGCCTCCCTGTCACCCTGACCTTTAAGTGGTTCTTTATGGCAGCCTCTTGGGGAGTTAGGAACCTTAGTGCCGCAGGTCTCACATATCTTGCTCTGCAGCCCAATGCCAGCAGCAGAAGAGCAGCTGAGTCCTGTATCGGGACCTGAAAAAACCCAAGTCACACAAAAGAAGTGTGAGTTTCTTAATTACACTCATAAAATGTGGTGTGGTGAGCAAAGATATAACTGTGCAAGGTCCGCATTGGACACCACAGTGTTTAACTCCCCATCTGTGTTACCCAGGGGAGTTGCCAGCCTGGAGTGACATTTGTGATCCCTTTCTGACACAGATGTTCCGATAAGTAACAGTTCTGATAAGAAAGCCTTGATTTGCCTTGCACCTGTGGGTGCTTAGTAAAAGTCTGCAGAATAGGTGGATCTGTGAGAATTTGGCCCTCTGAATTATCAGACAATCTTGCATTTGGAGTCACTTTTCCAAATTTGCCCCAGTAGATCCACATTCTCTTCTCAGCCCTTGCTATGGCCTTGAGCTCGTGTTTTGTCACCCAGGCCATTGGAAAGATGGTTTCCTCCCACGTCAGTTCATGAACCCATGTGGGAACCTGAATTATAGCTTTGCCCTCATCAGTGCTATGAGATGGGGAGAGGCTGGTGGTGGGGAGAATGTGTGTCTGGTGCAGGTCTAGAAATTATTCGGCAGTCTGTGGGCAGTGGAACTCTCCAGGTGAGGCCAGAATGTGGGAGCCTGGGCCACGCAGATGAGCATGGCAGGCTTGGTTGTCCAAGCAGCGTCTCAGCTCCAGGAGAGGAGAAGCCAGGGGAGCAAGCCTCTGCCAATGCTACCAGCCTCGCTGCATCCATGAGTACACTCATTTCTAACTTTATATGTCGAAGTATAAGTCACAAATGGAAGGAGCTCTAGAAGGGTTTCTTTCTTCCCTAAATCTCACTCAGTCCATAGTTATTGAATGCCTTCTGGATCCTGAACACAAGGAAATTACAAATAGAGGACAGGGACTTACCTGGGAAGGTTGTGTTGCACAGTGAAAAGAGTAAGAGATTCAGGTGGAAGGCAGGCGGGGGGGGTGGAGAATGGGGAGGGAAAGATTAACCAAAGAACTTATATGCATATATGCATAACCCATGGACACAGACAATAGTGTGGTGAAGGCCTGGTGGGGGCTGGCTTGTGTAGGGTGGAGAGGATCAATGGGGGGGAAAGGGAACATCTGTAATACTTTCAGCTATAAAGGTAAATTTTAAAAGGAGAGAGAGATTCCAACAGGCCTGAATTTGAGGCCTGGCTCTGCCTCTTAGCTGGATGGTTGGACATAGGTCCACATAGTCTCTGACATGTTCAGTAGGTGGGCTGGATTTAGTGACTCGCTTTAAACAGAGAATGAAGTGGCAGTGATAGTGTATAACTCCCAAAACCAGGTCATAAAGGATGTTGACGTGTCCAGTCTCATTCTCTTGGATCACTTGCTTTGGGGGAAGCTGGCTACCATGTCTTAATGACATAAGCAGCCAATGGCCGTGTGAGTGGCTATCTTGGAAACAGATTCTCAGCCCTGGTCAAGGCTTCAGATGACATCAATGCTGGCCACCACCTTGACTGCAGCCTCGTGAGAGATGCCAAGCCCAAACTACCCAGGTAAGCTGCTCCCAAATTCCTGACCCAGAGAAACTGGATAGTAAATGTTTTGAGCCATTAAGTTTTGGGATCCTTTGTTACCGAGCAGATAACTGCTATACCACCTCTTTGACCCTGGCAAGTTACTTAATTCTCTGGAGCCTTCACTTCCTTATTTCTAAAGGTTATGATTCCTACCTTACAGGGGTTTTGTGACAGTTAAATTACATACACTATGTCAACAGTTCTCAAACTTCTGATTTCAGAACCCTTTTACACTCATAAAATTGAGGACCCTAGAGAACATCTGTTCTCTATATAAAATTTATATGTCCTTTTATATACCTGTGGTGAAATCTCCCCATGTTGGAGAAGAGCTCCTTTCAGTCAGCTGAAGAGGGAGGGGTAAAGAAATATCTATACATAAATTTTACATCATTTTTGCTTGTACAGAATCACTCAGATCTTTCCAAGACTGAATGGTCAGTCCTGGGTTTTTAATTGAGGTGTTTAAAAATATTTTACTTATTATATCATTTAAAAGTGACAATCCATTTCATATTAACAAAACATTTTTTAAACAAAAACTAACTTTCTGAAAATAAAAAAATTAGAAGAGTTGCATGTCTTATGTCTTGGCAAGTATCTTGAACATCTGGCTTAATAGAAGGCAGCTGGATTCCATAGCTGCATCTCTGTTCAATCTGTGGTAATATTGGCCTTGCACAGATATAGGGTGTCCTCCCAGAAATGTATACATACACTTTGAATAATTATAAAGGCAGTGCTTATTAAAATATATTTCATTTTCAATATTGAGCTTTCAGCTGTTAAAGTGTATACATTTTGGGGGGGGACACCCTATATATAGCTAGAAAAGACAGGACCTTGTGGTCCCCTGTAAGGGTCTCAGGGACTCCCAGAGGCCTTCTGACCACACGTGGAAAAGCTCTACTCTTACAGCATCTGGTATAGTAAGTGTTCAATCAGTGAAACCTGTCATTATTACAGAGAAGAAATAGAACTGAATGTGACGTAGAACAGTGACTTGGGGAAAGGCTCTTGGCTAACAGGCTCTATGAACAAATGTAGGCTCTCTGAACATAGTCCTTGTTAGCTCTCTGGCCCTGGGTTCCTCAGATATAAACGGGTGATTTTCATGCTCAGCAGCTGCCTGAGCAGACACGCCTCAGCCCCACCTCTTCCCCACCCAGGGCAGTTCTGCCAGGGGATGTTTCTCTGCTTACATTATCTTGGAGAAAGGCTCCTATGACTGAAAATCATTGGATTCCATGCACTATGCTCTCTGGGTCTCCTCTCAGCTCTGACTTTCTTTGCTTCCCTGACATGTGTATGGACAAGTTGGTAGCAGCTCTCATATGGCGGGTAAGCTTATAGGAGCACATTGTGGATCCCGCTGGAAGGGTGATGGCACACACCTGAGTGCATGCAGGCCTGCGACGCCACCAGAGACAGGTGTTGGCACTTTCACCTTACTTGACCACATCTTAGTTAAATTGTTTAGTTTTTAATTCTTTACAGTTTGAAAAAAAAAAAAAAGCATGCAACACCTCAGCCTAGGCAATGCTATTTGGAGTGGCAGGTGGCAAGCTGGCACCCACCATGAGCAGGCCCCACAGATAGGGACCCTGAAGACCGAGCACACACAGACAGCTTCAGGTCCCTCAACTTACTGAGAAGTGAATCTGGGTGCCGTGCCTGTTCTTGAAGGGCAGTGGGGAGCCTTCCACAGTTGATCCTCCGGGGGCCTTTCATCTCCACAGTTTGCTTCCTAAAACAGGTGCATTAGATTCCGTAAATCTTCAGTAGACTTCTAACAGTGAGTGTTGGTAAAGCTGAAGCGTCAAGTTTCCTACGTCAGAGCCTGGACGATATAGCAGTGGCATGTTGTCCTGGACCCAGGGGACCCTCTGCCTGCCTGTTTGAGCTTCCCCATGAGAAGTGCTACCCTGCACAATTTGGCCAGATAAGAACATAGTTACCAAACATTAAAAGTAAATCTGTTTTGTTCCCCAGAGGATAATATCTAATCATCACACATACATATGCACTATAGAAATTTGAGTTTGGAATAACATTTGGAGTTTCTTTAATATTCATGTTTCAGAATCAGTTCTTATTAGAAGCCATGCTGTATGTCAGTATGGGTCACATGGCTTCTACTCTATAAGTACAAATGGAAGGAATCCCTAGTCCACAAAGTGGATTTTGTCCCGTGTTTACGGGGCTAGAGGCTAGGGGGGGCATCTGGGCTTAACTTTATCTGTCGAGGCCACCAGGGGGCATCAGAAAGATGCCTTACAATTGTCATTTACCAGCCGCTTCCTCTGACCTGTCTGTTGCTTCAGCCTACCACCTCCACTGAAATTCTGACTCCCCAAAGAAATCCTAATAACAACTCTTAAAGCACTTGCTCAGCCCGTGGGGTACAGCAATAGCCCCTGGGGGAAGTTCCTCATTCCTAGTGGGGAGGGCACCATGCCCATGGTATCCTGGACCAAGCCGGGGAGGCAGGATGAGACTGATCCCAGAGAAGGGAGGGGTGTGAGCCTGGAGCGCTGCTGAGCAAATGCATACAGGTCTCGCTCTGCCTGGGTTTGTGGGGTTGGGGCTGAGAAGCCAGGCCTTTCCCTCCTCCTGAGTCACATTTCCTCACACCTCATTTTCTGTCTCCACCCTCCTCCCCTGGGGCCCTTGAACATCTGCTCTCCAACGTGGGAAACTTGGCTCGCTCTCAAGTGAGTTCCATCCAGCACAACTTTCTTTTTCTGCCTCTTTGAAACGTCTCTGTGTGCTGAAATCTGCCAAACATAACAACTGAGGGCAAGCTGCTTGAGAAGACAGTTTTAGTGGCTTACATCCAAAGTTCTGTTGCAGAAACAACACAAAGGGATAAGTATTTACATGTAGCATTTGTGTGCATATATATATATATATATATATATATATATATATACATACACACACACACACACACACACCACCCTGCAAATACCCTGCAAACATGTCCATCAGCAAGCTTCATAAAGAACACAACCACCTGAGAGACCTAATTTTCTAAAAGAGCAAAGAGTAACCCTCTGAGCAAACGTTACTCCTCAGGGATTATGTCATTGACCAAGATTTCCATTTATAAATCATGTCCATCTCACCACTCCCCAGCAGAAGGTCACCGTTAGGTCTGATTTTATACTTAGTTGTACTTTTCTCTCTATCTGTCCATCATAGAAGAGTAAGTTTAGTCTAGGACATTGGTCCCTCCAGGGTCTACACTAGGAGTTTGGAAGAGAAACATTTAGTACCTCGAGTGTTTAATGAAAATGTTTTTTAAATGTAAAATATTTTTATTATTATTAGTAAGACCTTTAAAAAAATACAGAATCTAGATTTTAATTCAATAAATAAAAATGGTAGTGCTGGGATGGCTAGAACGTAGTAAGCACATCAGTGCCGCCTGTATTTAGAGTCAGGGCTGATGACTGGTGTGTTGGTTTAAAGTCTTAAGCCATGCCAGATGACACTGGGTGAGTGTCACTGGGTGAATGTCAGCACAAACACTATGCTGTGTCTTCTTGGGGGGGGCAGAAACTCAGTGGAAACTTGTGACAAGTGCCCCTTCCCGTTGGGGGAATGCTTTCTAACAGGAACCTCAGTCTTTCAGAGCTCATCTGCTTCTATTAGTGTCCATTACGTAGGTGTAATAGTGGCTGCCAAACAGCTCCTCCCTCCTTGACCTGTAACCTTCCAAAGGTAAATTAGCTGTGCTTTGGCCCCAGTCCTTGGTGCCCCTGACCTTGGAGATGGTGCCTCTCAGTAACTCATAGCAGCTTCAAATAAATGATTCTGAATCCACATGGGCTAACAAAGGCTCCAACGAGTGTTTCTAAAACATGGACTTCTCCTTAGGATTTTATATCTGATTTTACAGCTTATTACCTTGACGATTTCTTGCTGAGTAATGGGGAGAAGCAAGCCCCAAGATGTGGGATAAGGTTTATTTCTGGTGGGACCAGGGGTCAAAGGGGGAACCCAACAGGGAAGATTTCACTAATCCCAGGAGAGCAGTGGTGGGGAGCTAGTGCACAGTGGTGTGTAACAGTAGTCCATCTGGGCAATGTTTAAAGGAGCCTACAGGACAAGCCACCCTCCGTGTGCTGTAGCCATGATTCTTAACCAAGGGGGCTCATCAGAATCACCCCGGAGAGATTGAGAACAAGAATTCCTCCCAGGGCTCCACCCCTGGCAAGGCTGACAGTGTAGGTGGGACTGAGGCCTGTGCATGATTTAAAATCTCCCTGGTGACTTTGATGCCATCCCCAGTAGAGAACCACAGCTACAGGGACTTATAAATTGGGAGGGAAGCTGGGCTATGTGCCCAGCCCTGAGGTCTGCGGTTCTGTAACTGGGCCAGTGGCTCTGGCACCCAGTCAGCGAGCTGACGCCCACTCTCCCTGGAGTCATTATCCCAAGCCCGGCTCCCACCCTGGGAGTTTAGCAGCCAGAAACCCTCACCATTTGAGGACCCGGTGGCAGATGGCACAGCTCCGACTGGTTGTCCCTGCACGTTCCTGCCTTCCGGAGGTGTCTTGGGGGTCCTCCTGCACCACAAAGCACACACAGATGTGGCTGTGACTGAGGAAGTGACTCATTCCCTGGCTGCTCACACAGCACAGCCCAGCAAGCAGCCAGACTCAGCTGAACTCACCACTGCAGGGCTGCTAGGTTCTGATGCCTCGCTTAGAGGGGTCTGTGCTGTAGGCCCAGGGCTTAGAGAAAGAACCTTCAGCACAGCTGACTTCTTTCCTCCAAGCAGATTTTAAACCTAGTTTCCAGGTGAGAGGATACTCTCTCCTTTTTCATATCCTTTGGTTTCACATTACCCCAAGCTCCACCAGAGGATGAACAGATTGTAGAAGATAATTTTAAATCTGTCCATCTGACCACTGGTAGAGCAATACTGTCAACTAAGAATTAAACAAGGTTTAGGGACTATCTGGAGGCGGAGATTATTGTTTAACACACAAAAAAATGACACCACTGGCCTGAAAGGGCTGACACCACCCAGCGTGTATTTCTTACGATGGTTTTACCCTTTAGGTGAACAGAAAATAAACATACTTTTCTCACCAGTATAAACAATGCATTGTGCAGATAGCTTTCTGTGTCTTTGAATTACTTCCTTAGGAAACATCTGGGTCAAAGGTTGTGAGCATGTTTGTGTGATGACAGGAACTAACTGCCAAATTGCTTTCCACAAAAGTGCGAATTACACAGCCACCAACAATGTGGGCCACTCAGTGACCACACCTTCCTCTGCATCAGGGAGTATCAGTTGAAAATGCTCTTGTTAACTTACTAAGGGGGGGTGGCACCTGCATTAATTAGCGTTTCCTCTTTCGGTAAAGGAGGTAAATGTTTCCCTATGTGCTTATTTGTTGTGTTCCCTACTTGTGATTCTTTAGTTCATATCTTTTGTCCGTTTTGGGGAGGGTTTCCATGTTTTTTATTTTAAAAAAACAAGCATCTGTTGATTGCTCACTGTGCCAGCTGCTTCTCCCACGCCTCCTTATCCCTCCCCACTATCCTGGCCCATTGTCCCCATTTTAATGATGAGTAAGTGGAGGCCCAGAGAATTTAAGCAACCCAACAAGGTCACACAGGGAGACAGATGATTCAGTTTCTCAGAATTTTACTTCATTCTGAAATGTTCTGATAGTTGAGGCTACAGAAACAGAGTGTAGAAAGACAGTGGTGCTGGATTGGAGTTCCTAATCTTGCCTCTGTGGACAGTCCAAAATAAGTTAACTTGGGAGAGAGAAAACGCAGATGAGGATTCATGGAATTGGTTCCTGCACCGCTTGTCGCTCTATCTAGAAGAGCGAGCACCAGACCGTTAGGAGGAAACATCATTTCTTCCCGGCACGACCCACAGAAATGTTACTGCTCGCCCAGAAAAAAAGCTCTTCAGCAGTTTGTCAGCTTACACTGTGTTGTTACAGCCTAAACTAATCAGAGATTTCAAAAGCCAGCACTTGAAATAGCTTCTAGTTTTTATAAGCTAGTTGCATTGTAAATAATATGGGACTTTGGAAAGTTAAATTTTCATGAACTATTAAGAGTTTTGTGATTTGGTGAATTCTATCCTATAAATGCACAGGAGCCGTGTTTCCTGGCGTGGAATTGGTCTGCTGCATTACCTCATCTGAGGGTGGAGAGGATGCGGATGGCAGGTCACCCGGGACGGCTGGAGGACTCACGGGAGGAGAGCCAGCTGAGCTGTGTTTGCCTTCATCCATCTTCCCTTCAACGCCTTCAGGTAGCATCTCCAACTGGAAGATTCCACCTTCCACTTCTCTGAGTAAACAAACAAGGACAGGCATCTTGTAGGGTGGGTATGCAGTCAACATTCTAGCTAGGAGCAGCAGCTCTTGAACGGAGCGTTGCTCTATGTTATTAATGTGGCCTGTCTTCATAAAGGACCCATGATGGAGACCTGCCCTGACAGCATCCTGTGTTTAGTCTCCAAAGGCTCGAGCTCTGATTCTCGTTTTGTTACTTATTAGCTGTGTATCCTTGGGTAAACCCGTAATCTTTCTGTACTTTCATTGTCTCAACTTTAACAAAAAACTGGGTAAAGTCTACTTGAAGAAAACATGCCTCTGGGCCGGATATACTCATCCCAAAAGTTTTAACTCTTCCTGAATTAATCTGTAAATTCAAATGATCCTGAGCAAAATTCTAATGGAATTTAAGGAAATCTGGTTCACTAGTTACAGAGTTTTAATAGGAGAGTGCAAGAATAACTAAGGAACGTTTTTGAAAAAGAAGGAAACATTTCAGAATCTCTACTAAACTATAGTAATTTATAACTGTGTGGTTGATACAGGAACAGAAACCTGGACCAGTGGGATGGAGCGGACCAGGCCCATATACCCATGGCGATTTCATATATGATCACAGTGGCTTTTTCCACCAGTGGTGAAAGACTGGCCTATTCAGTAAGTGGTGGGACAAAGATCTAAGCACGAGAAACCAAATAAAATACAGGGAAGTGTGTTCTACCCTGGCAGGCAGAAGAGAGTGCAGAAGGGGGCAAGGAGGGACTGAAAATTTAAAGGAAGAGAAATGATGAGGCAGGTCGCAGGTTGTGGGAAGCGATGAGGCTGAGGAGGTTGGAGAGTGAGTGAAGCAAAGGATGTATGTGAAAATGTGCAGGTTTGGAAATGAAGAAAATATATTTTTGAGGGAATCTGATAAAATTCTGCTTTTCTGTAAAGCAGAAGACGATAGTATCAGAGCTTGGTGGAGGTAGAACCCCGTTTCTTGGCTTCTTGGCTTCAGGTGTTGGTGTGTGAAAGACTCAGGCAACTTCCAGACAACGTTCTGACAAATGAGATGCATGAAATCCAAGCAGTTACGTTTGCAGCTTGCTTTTTAAAGGCAATAAGAAGAAGGTTTTTGTAAGAGCATAACAGTTGACTTCCAAAATTGATTAGTCAATGATTTTGCAGAATTCTCTCCCCTACAGAAAGCTACCTGCAATGGCCTTTGGTTTCAACACTTAGAAGGTTCTCAGCATACCAGCACCTCGAGGGTTGCATGAGGTTCTGCCACGTGAGAGCAAAAGGACCAGCCTTGACTGAGCAGCTTTGCCTGCTCTGAGGTGGCTTCACAGAGTTTGGGGAGAGGCTGGGTCTTTCCCTGCCCCAGCATTGAAAGCTACTCCTGCATATGGGATATAATTGCAGCTGAAACTCTCTTGGTATATGCCGGGGCCAGGCACAGTGTGGGTGTAACTGGGATATAAATAAGGCATCGATTGCATAACTTCGGTCTTAATGTGCACAGAGGCCTGACTTTAAAACTCCTGCCAACAAGTGGGATTCCTTGGAAAATAAATATCCTTACTCTGTTCATTTTTAAACAAATAGGGAAAGCATGTGGACGCCTCCTCCCCCCCTAAAAAAGCTTTGGGGGAAAATAAATATTAAAACCCCATCCTTGTTGTCTAATTACTGAGTATTGAAATAGCAGTAGACAGAGGGCTCATTCATTTTGAAAAAGTAAAACTGCGCTTTGGGGAAAGTGCCTTAGGATGCAAGTGCTAAAATATAAACCATTAAAATATTTTGGCATGAAGGATGATTCGTATTAAAGTTCTGTGAATAGAAAGAGCTGACCTTACAAATATTAAGCCCACTAAATGGGCTCTTTTAATTCATAGCAGGAAGTTATATGGAAACAATTCTACCCTCGATTCCTGGAATACGTCTTAAAACTATTTGGATTGGAAAGAGAGACGATCATGGTGCCATAAAAACGGCCAGCTGGAAACTTCAGTGTGAGCGTGCATCCAAGGTTCTAATGTGGATTAACTCAGGAATCACTTGACTTTAAGTTTTAACGTTTCCCTCTATCAGGATTTGTGGGTCCCTCACCCCAACATTAACCAACCTGACCCATCCTCTTGTGCCCACTGCCCCTTTGGAATTGTCTATAGATGAAGGGGAGAAAGAGAGAGAGAAGAACCAGGCAGGAGAAATAAAGGCAGAGTGGAGTGAAGGACAGGCCAGAGGAGTGTGGAGAGGTGAACGCCCTCTGGGGCTAGACGGAGAGCCTTTGTAGGGTTTTCTTGGGCCCTTCTGGATCTCAGAACCAATTATAATAACATCCAATGAAATGCAAGATGGCAGTGCAATTGTCTCTCCACCTGGGTCATCACCTATCATGGGACCTTACCATAGTGGGAATTCTTTACTATCTGTCACATGGGGTGACAGCTGTTCATTGGTGGTGTGGCTTTTACTGACCCTTGACATATCTGGACCTTCAGTGGCTCTCCCGGCATTGAACCAGTAGCCACCTCAGAATCCCACCTGAAGGAGATCTCTTCTCGGACCCTCCCACCTCTCTCAGTATAAACCTGACCTTTCTGGGTCAAAGTCATTGACAGCTGGGGATTCATGCTTGTGGACCTGCTGCTCCAGAGTCAGATGCTTCTCCTTGTTGGCCACAAACTCCTGCTCCAGCAGTTCCAGATGTGCCTGCAGTTTCTCCAGCACCTGAAGCCGAGAAGTCGCTGGAATCAGTCACATGTAACCCTGTGTGTGGAGTTGTTTTCCCCAGAACCCACGAGGGTGAACCCTGCAGCAGTGTCAAAACAAAGCCACCATCCTTCTGGCCACTGCTTGTTTCTGAGTCTGACATCTAAAATACAGACAGGAGCCCTCTCAACATTCACACCACCCTCATAGCACAAAGCTGAGAGGTTCAGTTTTTTCTGATTCTCTCCCAGAACCCCCTCACAGGCCTCTGGACTTCCTCAACACAACACAACACTAATAATCCTGCACATTTGTAGAATGATTTTCCACTTCTAGAGCACATTCCCATTCATTATCTTATTTAATCTATGCATCAGGGTTGTAGTTGCTGCAAAGTAGAGTTTATTATCCTTGTTTTATAGAGGAGGAAATCGGAGCTCTACGAAGTATGTCTGATGCCACATAGATCTTAAATAGGAACTGGGTTTAGAGGACTTGGGTGTGAGTCTGCGGCACTTAGAGCGTGAGATGGGGAAGAAACAGCTGGAAGTTTAGCCACAAGCTTCAAATGGGTTTTGCAGACGTCGCCGTGTCACCACATGCAGCCTCACACAGGTGAATGTGTAAACCGTGTGGGTCAGTGGCTTGTCTTGAAGTTTAGAGGCTTAAGCCCTGCAGCCCAGTCACTGAACATTCCCTGAGCACTGCCTACGTCTGGCCCTGGGCTGAAAGTCTGAGAGATCCAAAAATTCTAACAGGCACAGTTCCTGGTCTCAGGGACTTTATTCCAGTTGGGAAAAGAGAGCGTGGATCGGAGTACACTTTGCTATGGCTCAATGGAAGAAGTGAGACTCAAGTCAGGCTTGAAGGATGCTCAGGAGGGCCTGGACTGGGCAGTATTCATGAAAGTGGAGAGGGAAGGATGAATTGGGGAGAGATTCCCAAGGGCAAGAATATTGCATGGTGGTATCAAAGGATCAGATGAAACCAGGGTTTAAGTTCAGACACTGTCACTTACTAATTGTGTGATTTTAGTGAACTTGAAGTCTACACTTCAATTTTCTCATATTGTGAAAATTAAATGAGCTAATGCAGTGTCAGGAGCATATCACATACTCAATAGAGGGTAGTTATCATTAATTCTTATTATTAAAAATGAATAAGCAAGTTTTGAAACACATTGGCTGTTGGGTATAGAAAAGGGCAAGTATGGTAGATGTTTTCTATTTCTCCCCCTACATCCATCCTCCATCCTTCGTGGCCCACCCAGGAGGTTGACCTTCCGTGGACGGCATTGACAGGAGGGAGGAACTGAAGACGGGTGAGGTAGGGGTCTTTGTTTCCCTGATTTCCTCCTGCCTGTATCGTCGCGGACTGAGTGTGTCTCTACCAAGAATCACAGAGCTTATCAGCTACTCCTACAGCTACTCTCCTAGTCTCTTCTGCTCCATTGTTTCCATGACGTGCTTTCCATTGCTCATTGGTTTCCCTTAACCTTGCCCACACTGTTGTTAAGTGATGCCTTATTAAACACTCTGCGATTACTCCACTGGAGCAGGCCACCTAGTTCCTGCCAGGCCGCCAACCGATTCTGTAAATCTCACAGACAGTGCTCAGGGCTCTAGCTTAAGAGATGGGCAGAACGTGAAAGCACTGACTAGCATGAGAAATTTGGAAAGGCTAACAACTTTGAATGAAGGTTATCAATATCAACAAATTCTACAGTGTTAGACGAGGGGGAATTTTCAGTGAGAGTGGGCTATCCAAGTGAAGACACAGACATTTGGAGATACAGATGAGAAGTCAGGACTAGTAACTGAGGAATTGGTAACAAAAATGATGTTAAAGCCATGAGAAAGAATTAGGTGTTCAAAGGAAAGAGAGAAGAAAGCCAATTATAAGTTGTAATTTAGGACCTTGGATTTTGAATCATGTTATATCTCAGAAGAAGACAGGACACAATTTCCTAGCTATAAATGTTCCTTGTGCAATTCTCCTAACGACTCTGAGATGGGAAGACATGCTACATGTCTAAGGTCATACAACCAAAATGTAGAACTGATGATGGCTGCTCCATAATCAAAATGCTTTCTACTATGTTGTGCTGCTCATGCTGAGAAGGTTACTGTTGGTCCTGTCTGGCCATCTCCCAATTCCAAACCAAAGGGGCCTGGAATTCTCAGACCAAGGCTGACACTATCAGGAGTCACCTTTCCTCTCCTTTCCATCCCAACACGAATCCCCACATGTCTTCTAACATCAGGAAGAAACGTCCTGCATCGAGGCCCCAGAAGGCTAGTGCCTTGAACCAGTTCCCTGTGCTTTGCTTGGTCCTTTAAAATTCTATGTTCTTGCAGTTCCTGAAAGCCTGGGTTTTTGGAGATTGCCTTGATTATCTACTCCTTAACTCCTGCAATCTGGCTTCCCTGGACCCACCAGTTTGTTGAAACTGGGCTTGCCAAGGTCCCTCCTGACCTCTGGGTTGCCAAGCCCAATGCATATCTTCCTTTCCTTCCTCCCTTGAACATCATGGTGTGGCCCACTCCCCACTTCTTAAAACCCTCTTTCTCTTGGTGTCTGCAGCTCTGGCCCTTCCAGGTCTGCCTTGACCTTTTGAGTCCCTCCTCATAGGTCGTCTTGGTGGGCCTCTGGTTTCTGGTTCCCATGATTCTAACCTTGGACTTCACTGCTTCCTCTGTGTGTTTGCCTGGGCAATCTCATACCCCATAGCTTCAACCCACAACTATACCCAAATTTTCATTTCTGGCCTAAACAAGCCCTCTGAGGTCCAGATCTATTGCTCTAATTGCCTACTGGACCTCTCCAATTGGATGTCCTACAGGGAGCTCAAAATGTCCCACACCAAACTTGCCTGCTGCCTGCCTCCCATGCCCATTAGGAACTGGATCCTCCGCTTTCATTCCTGACCTTGGTTGCCCAATCTGAAATTCATCCAAGCCTCCTCCCTTCCTTTACTCACCCCTTTCTATCTGTCACCACTTCCTTAAACCCTTAGACTTGTCCCCTTCTCATCCTCATTGCCAGCCTTGCTTCAGGTCCTCATAAGCTGTTCCCTGGATATGGCTTCCTAGCCAGTCTCTGTTCCTACAGTCTTGCCCTGATGGTGCTCGCTTTCTCCTAACTTTAAACCCTTCAGTGTGTTCCCGTGACTCGGCCTCAGGCTGAGGTCTCAGCTCCTCAGCGTGATGTAAGGGCTTTCACGACGCAGCCCGTCTGCCTTCCTCACCCCGTCCTTTCACCACGTGCACCTGAGCTCCATCTGGTCGGTTGCAGTGCCATGCAGTTCCTCACACTCTCCTGTCCCTGGGCCATTGCACCTGCTAGTTCCTTTTCCTGGAACACCCTTTGGCCCCCTGCTCTGCCAAGCTTATCCAGGTTCCTCCTACAATACCCAGCACAGAAGTCACTTTCAGGAAGCCTTCTAAAGTGCCTTGCTCTAGCGGACAGAATGAGTCTCTTCTCGGCTGCTGGTTTTTGTCTGTGAAACCCAAAGATTTTTATCTGAAAAGCACAGCTTCAAGATCAATTTTAAGTTTTCAAAGTTTTATATTTTGAGTTTCCAGATATTGGCAGTCCTTATAAACTACAACCCTTGGGACCTGTCAGCTCTGGGTGGGCTCTGTAACCCTTTACAACAGCTGGTGTGCTCGTCTCTTGGACCTTCCCTGGTCTCAGATTCATTATGGGGTGGCTGGTGAAGAAAAACAGAAATCAGCCATAAGTAATAAATCCCCTGAGAAAGAGAGAGAGCTGAGCATGTACAGAATTAGAATTCTAGTCTCTTTAGCCCCTGTAACATGAAGCCCTGACCTCAAATAATCAATGAGACCTGAGCCTTAGCATGTTGGGAAGGTGAGTGGTGTGATGGGAAGACGGGGTGAAGGGAAAAGAGGAAATAGCGTAAGTTAAATGTTAACACAATTCTGTACTAAATAGTTAGCATATAACAAGCTTGAAGTATGTTATCAAGGATCTTAATTCAATTCAATTTAGCATTAATTACTAAGGGCGTGATATATGTAGGACACAAGGCCAGGCCTCTGGGGACCATTGGGCTATGGAAAGATGAAGACAAGATTGCTATCTGTAATCTTCAGCAAAACATTCCCCCAGAACGTTTCCACTCCCCTCAGTGCAGAAAAAACATGGTGCTAGGAAGTCGTCATATTTACCCATGTCAGATTCCCTAGGAAAGATTTAAAAACTGGACAATTTATTACCAGCCTCTCGTCTTGCTCATAGCAGGGAGTGTCCTGTGCGAGGCTTTCGGAAAATTCCTGCACCTGCAATGAAAAAAATTCAATGTTTCATGAGTGGCATGGTGTCTCATGTTTGAATTTGGTTACTTCTACTGTTCATAATAAGCTTTAGAGGGATTACTTTAGTCTTCAGCCGAATGGTCTGTTCTTTTAACTTCTGACACATATTTTCCCCTTGGGATATCTTCTGGAAGATGTAAGAGGAACTCAAAGAAGGGTCTTTCTGAGGGGTCGATGACAACTTAAAGAGGCTTGCCTCAGATTCTGTTCCTATGTAAGAAAGAATAAGTTTCGGCTACCGTTCATCTCAAGTTCACTGCAGATTTATAAATCCTGAAAACAGAAGTTGGTGGCAACCGCCACCATTTGCTATAAAAAAAAAAAAAAAGATTTCAAAATGTGTATCTAAATGAAAGAGGTTGAAAAACACTAGTACCTGTGAGATGTTCTTGGCGGGTATTCGTCTCAGGCTCTATCTGCATAATGAAAGGATAACAAAGCGTCATTGTTGATGCTGACCAGTGACACCATTATTCAGAACAGCCTGATGGGTTCTGGTCCTCAGAGGCAGCCTGGGGTTGTGTCAACAGCTGGAACCCTGATGTCAAGGCTGAATCACCCTTTGACCCTTAACTGCTGGGTGACCCAGGACAATTAGCACTGGAACCCTCAATTCCTCACCAGTAAAATGGGGACAGTAACAGGACCTACCTCACTGGGTCCTTATGAGGATTAAACGTTAAGTACTTAGTCTCAGGCACGTGGTGAGCACTGCGTACCCTTAGCTGTGTCTACTATCATGTCTGATGCTAGTATGTGGAACACGCAAGCATTTCTCCTAAAACTAGACCACAAGCTCTAGGAGGGCAGGGACCACTGTAGTCTTGTCACCAAGTCTGTTGCTCTCGTGAACACCAAACTCATGGCAGCCAAGCTCTAGAGAATATGAATAGTTTGCATTAAGTTCCAAAATGTGTGTCAAGATAGTGATTTTTACCAGGACATGTCCCTTTCGGTTCACCACAGGCTGGCTGGACAGGAGTTTAAGTTCCAGAGTGATTCACCTTGAGGGGCTGCCTGTCATTCACAATGCACAAAGCTCAGAAACATTCCAGTGCCCAGACCTAAACAGTCATGGTCACATTAGACTGAATATCATGAATGTCTTGATTTGATGGATATGGAGCCTATGGAGTCCTGTTCTCCAACCTGAAAGGACTAGAGAAAAACCCGACACCTGACTTGAGACTCCCACTGCCAGAGGAGAGGAGCCTGACTGTGGCTGGGGGTTTCTGAAAAGTCCCATGGCCCACGGAGAATTAAGGCCATGCAAACCAGCAGGTCTTGGGTGAGCAGAGGTGGGGTCTCCCCCGTGAGGCAGGAGTTCAGAGTGTGCAGGGCCTGAGGAGGGGGCGGGGACCAGCCAGGTAACGGGGTGGCTCCTGGGGGAGCGGGGCTCAGTTTCAAAGGGTAAGATAAAGTAAAAAAAGGGGG